CCTGCTTCCCTCATTGCCTACTAAGAGCCAGGGGGATAAGCTTGAGCACCACGGCCACAGGGTTGCAGGTGGATGAAGTCAGGGTCCAAATGAGCGCTGCGTTTGCTTCAGCAGCCTCAAGCACGATTTGTTCGGTTAGGGTTTAGGGTTTAGGGTTTAGGGTTTAGGGTTTAGGGTTAAGGGTTTAGGGTTTAGGGTTTAGGGTTTAGGGTTTAGGGTTTAGGGTCTATCGCTCATAAGGTTGCTCCACGACACACCTAAGTCTCTCTCGCCAGTCCTTACCCAGCCCTTCCTTCAGACAACTGGTTTCCTGATGGCTGCCAAGCCACCCGACCCTGGATTTTGCTTCTCAGGGTATGAGAGACCCTGGCAACGTCAAAATCCTTAAGCCCTTACCTAGGTAGGCCCATGGGATGATCCTTGGTTCCCTTATTGGTTCCAGGAGATGATATTCAAGAGTGTGTTTCAGAAGGTGTCAAGGGCCCTAAAACCCTCACCCGAAACCCTAGACCCCAAACCCTACACCCTGAACCCTAGACCCTAAACCCTATGATGTTATACAGCTAAACAGCCTACGATCTCTAGACTGGGACCAGGAGCTGCCAGGACGCCTCTCAACCCTAAGGCCCTGAGAAGGGCCGCAGTCCAAGGTTCGGGATATAGGGTTTAGGGTTTAGGGTTTTAATTTGGGTGCAGGGTTTTGGGCACAGAAAGTGCGTCAAAGAAGGGTTCAGGGTGCAGGGTTAGAGTAGCAGCGGAGCACTCAGCCCCGAACCCTGCTTGTGACCTCTTCGCAGGGTTCTTGGGGGTTCAAGGAGGGTATGCAACCCAAGGTTCCCTGATACTCCCAACTACACCCTCCGGCTCCCAAGCTTCCCTAAGGTTCCCTAGGTACCTACCCCCCATGAACCCCCCTCCCCCCCCGTTCCCTTAAGAACCTCAGGCTACTTCTACCGCAAGATGTTGGAGCGCGCTGCAGATTTGGATGCAATTGCAGCCTGGCCACACTGGAACATGAGTAGTCCCTTTAATCACCCTAAACCCTAACTAAACCGTCAACCCGAATTTGGAAAACTACCCATTTCTAAACCCTAAACCCTAAACCCCAAACCCCAAACCCCAAACCCCAAACCCTAAACCCTAAACCCTAAACCGGGTAATCGGGGTTTGGGGTTGCAACCCCCCACAACTCGACACCAATGTGACTGTCAGGAGGGCTTTGGTGATGTTCCCCTGACAAGCGTCTTCGGAGGCCAGCGTGCTTGGCTTTCCTTTGGGGTTTGGGGTTTAGGGTTTGGGGTTTAGGGTTTAGGGTTTGGGGTTTAGGGTTAATTGGGGTTTCGGGTTTCTCCAGCTGCGGCCATTGGGCCGCTAGGGTTGTGGTGGTCGCTTCAAGCCAGGGCTTTAAGTCAACCTCAAGAGCGCAAAACCCAAAACCCTAAAGACCAGGATGGGCTATAATATCCTATAATCCTTAAAAAGGCCCTTTATAGGGTTCATTATGGGATTTTAAGCCCTAATAGCCCATCCTGGTACCCTAAACCCCTGAGCCCTGCACCCCCAAAATTGGCCGCCAAACCCTAAACACTAAGCCCCTGAACCAGAGAGCCCAAACCTAAACCAAAAACCCCCAAACCCCTGGACCCTAAACCCCCTGAACCTGAGAGGCCAAACTAACCCGCAACCTCCAAGCCCAAGACGCCTCAAGAGGCTACATTATGGCTGGCCCGGGATTCCCTTTCGTGAACACCCCAGGTGGATCTCTTGAGGGCTTAGGGTGTAGGACTTCGGGTTTAGGGGGGGTGCTTCGACGTTGAGATGTCGAGAGCTCAGGGTGTGTCGGCTTTCGGGATGGAGGGCTTACTCAGGGCTTAAAATTAAGGGTTTTGCTGTCAGGTTTTCGGGGTTGAGGGCTTCAAGGGCTTCGGGGGTGCCTGACAACAATGAGTCCAGATGCAGTAAGTCAAAGGGTTTGGGGCTTAGGGGTCCCGGCGCAGAGTCCAGATGCGGAGAAAGGCCTTTCTAGGGGGCGTCTTAAACCCTTTCTCCCAAACTCTACATGTTAAACCCTCTACGGTTTTATAGAAACCCTAAGCATAGAGAGGCTTGGGGTTTTAGGGCTTGGGGTTTAGGCTTTTGGGCTTCCGTGTTGAGCCAGGGTTTGAAAGCCCCTACGTCAGCCCGCTTTTGACACAACGGAAGGTTACAGTCGTAATGTATGAAACG